GCAGTGCGAATCAAAAGCAGTGCGAAGCAGCACAAGGCAACGCGACTGCCACGCAGTGCGCTCCAGTGCGATTGCAGCGCAACGAGGAAAAGCGGGGTGCATCGGGGCGGCGGCGACGTGCGGGAACGGGGCCGCCGGTGCTGCGAGCGGGCCCAGCCCCTTGGAAGACATCTAGGAGAACCCAAGTGCAAACACTGCTAGGGAATCTCAAGAAAGATCACCACGAGATTCCCTCCGACGCGGCGAGCCTTCCCAAGAGGGCCCCATGAGGCCCGTCACGTGGCCCTCGGCTACACTACGATACAATCGATCTACGGCCCAACGCGACGGGGTCGCACGCGGTACAACTCCACGGGACAGGGTCCCCTGTCACACACGAAGTGGTCCGCCCGGTACGCACTCTGAGACCTTTCGCAACAGATCTCCCGCGTTATGGATCCCGCGCGATTGGGCTCCAACCGAGAGGGTCTCACAACGTGCGATTCCACGCAGACGATTTCCACGCAATTGGGACCCATACATGTGAGTCCGATCCGATAGGGGCACCGGGGAGCGTTCCACAAGATTGCGCCGTTCACACTCTTGTCAACTTACGTCGTTTTTCGCTGCCTTGGTCTTGTTTTTCCCAACCATCTTGTGGTGTTGGGCCCTTCTTTTGAAGAGACTGCGCCCCGCGTCACCTCAGCTCACCTCCCGCTGCCCCCTCCCCCTCCTCCCCCCTCCAATCCCTTGCCTCTGCTCTCCGCATGCCCATCCCATTCTGGCACACCCCTCACACGATTCGTGACCCCATAGGGAGCGCAACCAAGGCCTTAGCGGGAGCGTCCGGATGGCAGCGCCGCCCCATTTTGGCACACTCCTCACACGGATCGTGGCCCCATAGGGAGCTCCACAGAAGGCCCCAGCGGGAGCGTCCGCATGGCACCGCCGCCCCATTTTGGCACACCCCTCACACGGTTCGTGCCCCCCATAGGGCGCTCCACCGAAAGCCCCAGCGGGAGCGTCCGCATGGCACCGCCGCCCCATTTTGGCACCCCTCACACGGTTCGTGTCCCCCATAGGGCGCTCCACCGAAAGCCCCAGCGGGAGCGTCCGCATGGCACCGCCGCCCCATTTTGGCACACCCCTCACACGGTTCGTGTCCCCCATAGGGCGCTCCACCGAAAGCCCCAGCGGGAGCGTCCGCATGGCAGCGCCGCCCCATTTTGGCACACCCCTCACACGGTTCGTGGCCCAATAGGGAGCTCCACGGAAAGCCCCAGCGGGAGCGTCCGCATGGCAGCGCCGCCCCATTTCGGCACACCCCTCACACGGTTCGTGGCCCCCATAGGGAGCTCCACCGAAGGCCTCAGCGGGAACGTCCGCATGGCACCGCCGCCCCATTTCGGCATTCCCTTCACACGTTTCGTGGCCCCAGAGGCAAGGGCTCCCAGCTTCGCGCTTCGCGCTGCGCGAAGCGCGAAGTGCGAGTAATTTCGCGCTCTCGCGCCGCCTCCCAGGGGAGAAGAGGAGGATGAGGAATCGGAGCCGAACCGCGAAGCGCGAAGCGCGAATAACTTCGCGCCCTCGAGGGCGCCCTTGCAGAGGGAGCTCCACCGAAGGCCCAGGCGGGAGCGTCCGCATGGCTCGGGCCGTGGACGAGGCTCGGGCGCAACCAAGCAGACTCCCCGTTCGCCCGCGTCGGCTTCTCCCCCTCGTGCACGCCGCAGTCCCTTCGTTTTCTCCCCCTGCGGTACTCAGTAGCACATGGTCGAGTCCTTCGTCAGGCCAATTTTCCCTGGCATTTTTCGCTCTCCGGTGTCTCCTTCCCCTCGAACACGTGAGACCAGGTTGTCTTCGTGAAAACAAACCTCTTCTGGCATTCCGTGAGATGTCACATATAATCTGCGTTACAGTGCGGGCGCGGCCGCAAGAAACCCTCGCAAGAGACCCAACCCTGAGAACCCGTGCACGAGGTACTCCTGGGTGGAAACCCTGAGCAGCCTGAACGCAGTAGCTCCTTCAACGGCTGCGGGAAGTCACCGCGCAGCGCGAGGAGCGAAGGAACCTCTCTATACCCTGACGAAAAACATATGTTTTCTTGATGCGCGCCCCCACTGTATGGAACGTCGGGCCCGATCCGTCCACACTCCAAAGACAAATCACGGCGCGACGTCCAGAGGCGATTTGGAAGCCCGAGGGCAGATTGTCCTTTACGCAACGAATCATCTGAGGTCCATGAGGGGTACCCAACGGTCGGAAGAAGTAGGCAGAAACATGAAGTACGAGGGTGTTGAAAATAGATTGGATTCCGCCCGCCCGCTAAGGAGGACGGAGAAGGTGGAGCCACTCGATCATTGAAGTAGCAAGGCGCTTAAAGTAGATTGGAATCTGGGAATCCAAAAATACCTACTTTGAACGACCGATGGGTAAGCGGGTGATGCGTAAGCTTAGTAAGGTTATGATTCAAGACTCGACCCCGACCTTGTACTTGATCTTTCGAGCTGGGTTGATCCGCGAGAGCCCTGATACCCGAGACAAGGCGAAACGTCCCGTCGTGCCTTTTGGCAAAGGGACGCATCGAGCCATGAAACCCGCGGCTTGCTGAGCGCCTGCAGTCTGCAGGATCAGCTCGGCGCCGTCGGGGCGCACCTGGGGGCTGTGCGGGCTTCGTCGCGGGCTCTGTGAAACTGGCTGCTCCTGCTGCTGATGTTTTTCGTCCTCCTCCTGGCCATCTTTATCCCCTCCTAGAAGCATAACATGTCCTCAAACACACAAGCACACAACATGCCAAACCTCATGTTCGCATCGTGTAGGTAGTTTGTCCATCGCTAGCGGTGCAGATTTCTGAGGGGACAACATGCACGCTTGGCGAACAACGAGGCAACACTGGGCTGCGAAGAGGTCCAACCATGCCTACTTGTCTGGTAGCCCAAGTGGAAGTGTTAGCACGTGAGCGTTGAGATGTCTCGGGCTGGGCATGGCAGCACTACAGTCGGGCCGCTGAAAGAAGGAACGCTACGTAAGGAACGAAGCCCCTTCGTGGCCCTGTAAGCGCCTCCGTGCCCCAGGAGGGCAGGAGGAACAGCACTGGAGGAACACAAGGAACATCGAGCCCCTTCCGAACCCAAACTGTTCCTTATCTCAGCGTCTGGCACTGCGTAGCAACACATTTCAAACCGAGGAGACACACTTTCAAACGAAGAGAACCAAGAAGGGAACCCACGCCATGCCGGACCACACACCCGTAGCGGGAAGGAAGGCCACACTGAAATCTGTCCAGCGTGCCCACAGGTGTGATTGAAGGGGCCCAGGGACACACAAATAAATATACAAAATAAACATATCCCCCATATTTTTCAATATATTCTGGGTTTCTGTCTTCCCCCCCACTTCCCATATCCCATATTTTCTGGGAATCGAGGATTCATTGTGTTTGTGTGTTTCTTTTCCTCCTGAGTGATGAGCGCGGATTGAAGAACCGCTCCAGCATCACGCCTCCGCTGGATCGAAACACCTGGTCACGAACCTATCGTTGGTGCATTGGATGCGCTTGTCCCCGCAACATCCACGCCCGGTCGACGGAAATTGCACCGCATCGTGAACAACTAGTGCTTCACGGTCCGTGGACAGCCAGGCGAAGCGAGAGGAAAGCTGCACCCATCCCAAGAATCTCAATATCACCCGAAGAGTGGTAGATATGGATGATGTTTCGTATGTCTTGAACGGGCTGGCTGCAGCGCGCGTCTCCAGGACAGACAGCAACGTGATTCGGTTCGGGAAGGAGCTGGGGCAGCTCTTCCTCCCCCTTCCTGTCGCCGCCTCGTGCACATGACGTACGTCGTCCAGGCAGTGTACAGGGGACCGGACGAGCTCCAATACTCTCTGCCTGCCCACCCACCGCACCGCAGAGAGTCTCAGAGCTGCCTCTTCTGCTGCGCCGTTGGCTGGGCTGTGGGGTGCAGAAACCCGTTTGGACTGATGTGTGTGCTTTCGCGAGCTCCGACCTGGTCCTGTCCAGCGCAAGCGGTCTGGCTTCCAAGGCCGTCGCTGCACGGTCCCTCGCGAACCCTCCCCGAGCCGCACCTCCGTGACGGAAGCCGCGTCCGGAGCTTCTGCATTCAGGCTCGACGGGGGCATGGCAGCCCTTCTCAACCCACTCCTCCTGCCTCTCATCCCTCTCGTCCTCCTGTGCCCCTCGTCCTCCTCGGTCGTCTTCTCCTCCATTTGGCTTTAAACATGTTGCGGTTCAAGGCGCCATCCAGTTGCCCCCTTGTCTTGCCCGATGTCTTCCGAATCTGGCGTCAAAAAGTCAAGTGGTAGACCTGCCGCTTCACAGGAAAAAACATGCTTCTCAGCCCAGTGGGAGCCGAAGCTAAGCAACTACGACTAAGGCAGGGGAGGGCCTTGCGCAACGGAGCCGAATGCATCAGGATCTGGTACAAAAGGACGATCGAGGCTGCTCGTGGCATTTGCCTCCCCGGGTCTGCGGCTCGGCTCCGCGAAGACACCTCCACGCTCCAGAGGGCGGCGACCAGTAGCTTCGGCGTCCGGCTCGCCGCACCTTCTGCCGGCGAGCGGCAACCCGTTTCTCCCGCTCCTGCTCCCCCTCCGCAGTGCCATGCACGCCGATCCCAGTCCGTGCCCAAGGCGCGGCGCTCGCGCTCGGGCGCCCGCCGCTGCCGCCGCGGAGGCCCTCGTGCACGACCACGGGACCTGGCTGCCACTTCGGAGGGGCAAAGAGAGAGAGAGCCCCGGCCGTCTTCTCCCGCATCCGGAAGCTGGAAGGAAAGGTGACGAGGTGGAAGGCGGGACCCCACAGCCCCAATCGTGCCCCCCAGCTTCTTCGCGGCGGAGAGGGGCCGGTCCAGGGAGCACTGGTGACCCACGTCGGTGCGGTTTGTCAGCGGGCAGGTTTGTTTCTCCCGGATGTTCAGAGGAATGAAAGTCTCCAGGCCGTACGTGTTTCAGCTCCCGAAGCAGTCGTAGCCGTGCGTGTGGTAGCCGCCTTGGCTAGTGCGTCGCTTTGCCAATGTTCTTGCACAGGCCGCGCGGGACGTCGCCCCCGTAGAATCACGTTCCCCAACTCCTGCCTTGCTTCATCTTGCCGTGAGAAAATGGGTCGTAGCTCCAGTGTTTTTTTGTCCGGGAGTTGCGTTTGTTTGTGCTGGGCGCCTTACCTTTCGACGGCTGCGATTAGTCCCCAGGGGCGTTGTTCAAAGACTTGCATTTACTGTATGTGTAGACGCCAGGCTCCGTGCAATTACCTTTGCCTGTCGGCTGCGGGGTGCCCTGGAAAGCGGCCTTCCGGATGTCGTGGTTCCGGCAAGCCTCATCCTCCACTCCTCGTCGCTCTCATCATCCTCGTTGTCGCTGCTTTCGTCCTCCTCGTCGCTTTCGTCGGACTCGCTGCCGTCGCAACGTTCCTCTTTTTTCTTGTCGTAGCGATTCTTCATATCGTACTAGCACAAGTCCACGATGCTGGGCCCCGCTCGACGTGGCGGCTTCTTCGGGCAACTACGAAGGGGCGTCGCCGCGGGCGTGTTCGGAGGCGCCCACTGCGCCTTCATGATGGCCCCACTGTAATGGCGCCGGCCCTTCTCGTCGGGATAGCTGGTCCAGCCCAGAGGCAGGGGGGCTGGCCGTTGTGCCTCGCCTTCAAACCACGGGGACGACCACTGCGCGTTCCGCGCGACCCTGTGATACTAAGATATTTTTTCCAGACGTGTCTATCGCGTTCCCCGTCCTCTTGGGGGATTGTTTGGGTTGTCCTGCACTTGCTCGTGCTCTGTGTTTGTTTTTTCGTGCACTGGTGTTCCTTTCTTGTGCTCTAGGTCCTCCTTCTCCTACTCTGGCTTGACTTTCTCATGCTCTGGATCCTCCTTCTCGTGCTCTGAGCTCTAAGGCGGTCTTCTAAAACACTACATCCTCTTTCCCGTACTCTGCTGGATCGACCTGCTCGGCGTTGTCTTGCTCGCAGTCGTGGACTGGATCCACCTTTTCGTACTCTTGACCACCCATCTCGCACTCCGGATTGTCCATCCAATGGATAAGGTTATGTCGGGCCTGTCCACCTACATGGGCATTTTCGCCGAAACAAATACTCCAAACATAATAAAAAAACAAAAAAAAACAGTCCAAACATAGTCGGGGGACTACTTTTTTAGTATGTGTGGTCCATTTTGGGGGTATTCTCTATTTTTCGTCGAAAATCCCCCTGTAGGGGGACAGGCCCGACTTAAGGAGAAGGCCCAGCGTTCTCGTACTCTGGATCCCCCTTCCCGTGCTCGGGGCCCCCTTCTCGTGCTCCAGATCCGTTACCTCGTGCTCTGATCTCTTTTTCGGATGGACTGTATTCCCCTTCTCGATCTGCGGGCCTCTCTTCTCGTACCCTGAATCCTTCTCATCATACCCTGGCTTCGCTTGTTTGCTTTCTGGATCCCCCTACACCTACGCCGGATCACTCTTCTCGTGCCCTGGATCCTCCTGCTCGCACTCTGGCTTGGCCATCTCGTTGACCAAATCCCCCTTCGCGTGCTCCTGGTTCCACTTCTCGCAGTCTGGGTCCCACTTCTCGTGTACCGGAGCCTCCTTGCCGTGCCCTGTCTTCACTTTGTCGTACTCGGGATTCTCCCTTTCGTACTGTGGATATCGGTTCTCGTGCTGCACAACAAGTTGTTTCATCCGCATGTTCCTGGTCGTCTGGGTCCTCATTCGCGTGCACAAGAGCCCCCTTTCACTCCTTCTCGTACTCCGGATCCTTGTTCTCGTACTCCGGATCCCCGTTTTTGTGTTTCGGATACCTGTTCTCGAGTTCTGGGTCCTCCTGTTGTTCTTCCTCCTCCTCCTCATCCTGATGCTGATCGTCTACGAAGCCCGCGCGGTTGCCGTAGTCGCGACCCCCGTAAAAGGCTCCAGCAGCATAGTTGGCCAGGCACGAATTCCTTGGCTTACGTTGCTTCCATCGTACTGAAGGACCACATCCCAGCAATCATCCCGAGCACCCAGGAAGTGTCGAAACAGTGTCGAGCGAGTATCGCCTCCCAGGGCCCAACGCGTGAAGGCCCTCAAGTTTCGGTACTGCTCTGGTGCTGGAGATTATTTCTGGTGGTCAAGGCTAAAGCAGGCTGGAGCATCATAATCCTCGGCTGCCGCAGCACACTCTGGCCAGCGCAGGGTCCTGTCCGGGCCAGCGGCGGCAACCATCAACATCGACGACGGGGGGAAGCCGATCGCCTCGCGGTCGAGGCCGTGCACGGCGCCCTCGTCCATGTCCTGCTGGTTGTGCCCTGCAGGTTTTGACCCAGCTCGTGTAGTTCGTACATGTCCTGCGGGTCCTCATCCTGCGGGTTGTCACCCAGATCGAGCAACGCGTACTTGTCGTCCTTTTGCTCCCCGTAGTGGCGCTTGTGGCTGTGCAGCGCCGCGTACACAAAAAGGTACGGGTTCCTTCCAGTCAGCCTTCATGCCGCGCCTCGTCCTGTAGCCAGTCCTGCGCGCTGCGGCGCGCAGTGGCCTGGGTCTGGCAGGACCCGAAAACATCTGGTTCGCCCTCGAAGACGCATGCCGCATCTCCTGCGGTCAATGGCCCTCGGCCGGTGGGCTAAGACAAGCCCCGCCCCGGAGGCGCGCGCCCAGCCAGGCGCGGCGCCAGGGGGCGAGTGCTGGGGTTGGATCCCGCATATGGCTTTGCTGTTCCTCCTCGTCCTCCTTCTCTCCCCTTTCCATCCTCGTCCTCAGCCCCATTCCCTCCTTGCCCAACTCCTCCTCCGCCACCTCCTCCGGCGCCTCGTCCTCCTCCTCCTCCTCCTCCTTCTCCTCTTCTTCCCTGTCTCCGTCCCTCGTTCCCCATGGCCGCTGTAGAGTTTCAACTGGAGCCGGCAAGACAAACACCGTGGTGACTGTCCTCCACTGATCAGCCCCGAGGGGGGCTGCAGACTTTTCACCTAATTAACTAGCTGCTGGTGAATATTCGGGTGCGCCGACGAGGGAGTTGACAGCATCGTGGCCCGAGGCACTACTTGAAACAATGTTACTAAAAGGAGAACAATACTAGAAAGAGAAAGGAGAAGGAATACCAAATCAGAAACGTAAGCTTTTGGCGCTCCACGCGGATTTCTTGGACCTAGCCTGGATCCTCCTCCCTGGCGCGCGGAGCGCGCCAGGGGCGGCGCCGGAGGCGCCTCCCTGGGAGCCCAGCGCGGATCCAAGAACTCCGCGCGGAGCACCAACAGCTTATGTTTACAACGTTTCCTCGTCTTCGAACTACTGGGCGATGAGATCTTGGGATTGTCAGTGCCCTGGCCGTTGCATCCGCTCTCCCCGGCCGCTGTGCTCGCAGTGCCGCTCCCCGCAGGCCCCATGGGAGGCGCCAACTCCCCCTAAGGATCCGGCTCGCCAGCGGAGGTGGCCCCCCCTATGCGAAGCGGGGATGCATCACCCATGGCCACCGCCCGGGGGAACCTTCGGGGCATCGGCGGGCAGCGGATGCAGATCTTGCTGGCCCCCGCAGGGCCGAAGGAATCCACGTGCATCGCCCGTCGAAGTCCCCGAGGATCGATCCCCCCGGCGGTGGGTCTGGGCAAGCCCGCGCCTTGGACTCGGTGCCTCCCGTCGCCGCCGCCGCCGCCGCCGCCGCCGGGCACCAGCAGCGGCCCGACGACGCCCTCGCTGCGCGGGGCAGGCTGCGCCCACCTGCGCCGGAGAGGGGGAGAAAGAGAGAGAGAGAGGGAGAGAGAGAGAGAGAGAGAGCAAGAGAGATAGAGACAAAGACAAAAACATGTTTGTTGGTCTGCGGGGCGAGAGCCAACCTCTTCCGGTAAAAGCTAGGCGGGCTACGCACAGCTCTAATTGGGGAGACAAGGCACAGGCGGGCGGGGCCTCAGGCGGCCGGAGGGCGGGCCGGGGTGCAGGCGGTGCCGAGGAGCTTGCACAGGAAAAGGAACGGCTTGGACAGGAGCCGGAGGCGAAGATCCGGAGGGTGAGCGGTACAGAGACAAAGACAGGTGACAGAGAGAAACTGATAGATCGCAGCGATTCGGACGACGGGTCGTGCAGGCCCCCGGGCGGCGCGTGCCCGGCAGGCCTTCCTCGCAGAGCGGGCAGCGCCGCATGTGGTACAGGCGTGGTGGGATTACCCCCCCCCCTGGCGCGAGCCAAAGGGGTCCACAGCTGGAAAACAAAAGCAGCGGGTCGGTGGCCCCGAGAGAGCTGCAGAACCGCGTGCAGGCCACTCGAGATCCCGCCTGCGCTCCTGTGGCTGCCAGAAAAGCCGGCTTTAAGCACGCTTTGGGATGCGCGCCTCGGTATCTCGAAAAAGAGGCCGCGGCCCCGCCCCCCCCCGCAGCGGCCCCAGAACAGTGGCCGTGCAACGGCTGCCAATTGGCCACACAGCGAACGCGACCAGAGGCAGGCGGCACCACCCCACAGGGGTGCTAGGGCCTCCCCTCTTGGCCTCCGGGCAGCAGAGCCCAGCACTAGCCTCCGCGCAAGCACGGACGTCCCCGGCTCCGCCCAACCCACCGCCGACGGCGCCGAGGCCCCGCCAGGCGAAAGAGGGGGTTAAACCTCCTGTGGGGGCCGATGACGAAGAAGGTGAAAAAGGCCTCAGTGCACAGGAAGCTGGGCCTCTGGATTGTCCAGGGGCCCTCACGCGACGGAGCATGCCGCAGACCATGACGTAGGTCCCAAACTGCCCAGGTGCTTGTCTGGCGGCGCGCAACCTGAGGGGCAGGAGGCGGCGGTGGCGCCAAGGGCCAGTGCGATCCTGGGGATGGCGCAACCAAGGGACGTGGGCGCCAGGCAGTGCTCGGATAGCGTCGGGGTGTAGGACCGAACGGAGTCGTCGTCGTCGGGTTGCGTCGATCTCCCCAAGGCTGGTGAATAGTGTCCAGCCAGGTTAGGCGCCGGTCGTAGGCGTCATCCGCTTCCGTGGCGAAGCGGCGCGCCTGACCCTCGCGCCCGCGGCGCCGTGCACGGCGCCGAGAGTGTCGTCAAGGCAGAAAGTGAGAGCATCAAGGCCGCAAGCCGGAGCCAGTCGCTTGGGCCCGAGCAGGGCACGGAGCATGGAACGCGCTGCATGCGCGCAGAGCCTGAAACACAGATCCGCAGTCAGAGTGCCGGGCCTGGTGGGGACCTTCGTCCGCCGCCCTCGCGGTCCGAGGGCGGATCGGCGTTCTGCGATCGAAGTAGGGTGAATCGAGTAAGCACCGAGCGCCCAAACTGCCCAGAGTGGGATGGCTCGACGGCCTGGTGAGAGCAGCGGTCGCCCCGGGCCGTGACGAGCCATAGAGGGGACACTGGTCCGGCGCGCTGCGGTGTCGCCTTCCTCGGCGGGGGGGCCTGGTGGCCTCCGCCTTGATGAGGTTGCGCTGCAGGTTGGCGAGCGTCACCTCAATACTTTGGTGGCGTGGTGGTACGGGTGTCGTCGTCGATCCAGCAGTCGACAGTCGGTCGTCGGCGGTCGTTCCGGCCGTCGGCGGGCGGTCGTCGGGCGGTCGTCGGGCGGACTGTCAGCGGACGGTCGTCGGCGGTCGTCGAGCAGGCGGGGGGCGGTCGTGGGCGGTCGTCGGCTAGAACTGGCTGGGGTGCGGGCCCGGTGGCCCCACGGCGGAACGCAAACGAGAGTCGTCGGACACTCGGTGAGGGCGTCACGATGGACCACGGCGAATGAACTTACTGCCGTTTTGGTCTGGCGGACGCGCGCGCGGAGGGTCGCTGCGGACTGCGTCATGAATGACAATTGAACGCGGCGTCGTGGGTCGGCCATCAGGCACTGGTCTGTCGGAGTGCCAGCCGTCGATGCTTATCGTCAGAAATCGGGGAATCAACCGTCGGTCGTCGGCGGTCGTTACTGCGGTCGGTGGACGGCCGTCGGCGGTCGCAGGACGAACATAGGCGCCAACGCGACTGGCTCGAGCGCAGGCCCTGAGCACCAGGAGAGTTTATTGGACACTCGGCATAAGGTTCACTGCAGAGAAAAAATATGTTCAGATGTAAATGTTGGTATATGTTGTGCAAATCCCACCAGCCCTCTGGGCGTCGGTGGTTTAAGGCGTTTCCTCTTCCACCCCTCCTTCTTCCCCTTCGGGGAGGGGAGGGGTTTAGCACTGGTCCCTATCAAAATGCACCCCCTCCCCCAGGCGACTGGGAGCCAACCAAGGTCCATGCGGCCACCCCCCCACCATCAAAAAAATACAAAACACACTCCCCCACCATCCCTGTAAAAACAATACAAAACACACTCTGTCTCCAAATTCGGAGCATGCGCAGCGAACCCGATGCGGCCTCCCCCCACCATCCCTGTCAAAAAACAATACAAGTACACTTGGCGGCGGCGGCGGCTGCGGCGGGGCAGCGGCTGCGGCGGCTGCGGCGGTGGCGGCGGCGGGGGCGGCGGCGGGGGCGGCGGCGGCGGCGGCGGCGGCGGCGGCGGCGTTGGTGGCGGCGGCGGCGGCGGCGGCAACGGTGGCGTCAGCGACTGCGGCGGCAGCGGCGGCGGGCAGCGCGGTGGCGGCGGCAGCGGCGGACAGCGGTGGCGGCATGGGCGGCGCGGCGCCGGCGGCGGCGGGCGGCAGCGGCGGCGGCGGAGGCGGCGGCGGCGGCGGCGGACTGGCCCCCAGTAGCTGGCCATCCAAAGACGACTGCTGCATATGCTGCGGCTCGGGCCAGGCTCGGGTGCTACGTATGTGTTGGGACGGCGGGTGGGAGTGAGCGAGACGGCTTGCGGGCGGTGAGGGAGACTCTTGATCACTGTTCCCTATTAATTATCCCGGCAAAGCAACCTAACAGCGATGTGTAGAAGCATATATGAAAGCATTCCCCTTAAGATTCACATGAAAATCCAACTGTAGAATCCTGCTGTTCTCGCAGTCGTAGTCGCATTCGCGATGACAGTCGCAGCGGCAACGGCAGTCGCAGTCACAGCCTCAACCTCAGCCTGCCTCAGCCTCAGCCTCAGCCTGCCTCAGCCTCAGCCTGCCTCAGCCTCAGCCTCAGCCTGCTTCAGCCTCAGCCTCAGTCTGCCTTCAGCCTCGGCCTCAGCCTCAGCCTGCCTCAGCCTCAGCCTGCATCAGCCTCAGCCTCAGCCTCAGCCTGCCTCAGCATCAGCCTGCCTCAGCCTCAGCCTCAGCCTGCCTCAGCCTCAGCCTCAGTCTGCTTCAGCTTCAGCCTCAGTCTGCCTTCAGCCTCGGCCTCAGCCTCAGCCTGCCTCAGCCTCAGCCTGCCTCGGCCGCAGCATCAGCCTGCCTCAGCATTCAAAATGTGGCCCAGGAGCGGAGTTCTGGGAACTAGAAGAACACGAAGTGGCCTACAGTTGGCTCCGGGCATTCAAAATGTGGCCCGGGAATGGAGTTCTGGGAACTCGAAGAGCACGAAGTGGCCTACAGTTGGCTCCGGGCATTCAAAATGTGGCCCGGGAATGGAGTTCTGGGAACTCGAAGACCACGAAGTGGCCTACAGTTGGCTCCGGGCATCCAAAATGTGGCCCGGGAATGGAGTTCTGGGAAGTCGAAGAGCACGAAGTGGCCTACAGTTGGCTCCGGGCATTCAGAATGTGGCCCGGGAATGGAGTTCTGGGAGGTCGAAGAGCACGAAGTGTGTGACTGTTGGCTTAAAACGACTTCTGCGGCACCCTGTCCGGCACCCGCCCAGACCCCCCTGTGGAGTCATCTGCTGCTCTCTTTTGACCCTACTAGAAACCTATCAGTCTTCGCTGCTAGGTAATAAACACCCCCTCCCCCAGGCGACTGGGGGCCAACCAGGGTCCATGCCGACCCCCCCCCACCATCCATCGTAAAAACAATACAAACACACACTCTGCCTCCAAATTCGGAACATGCGCAGCCAACCCGATGCGGCCCCCCCCACCATCCCTGTCAAAAAACAATGCAGAGTACACTTGGCGGCGGCGGCGGCGGCTGCGGCGGCTGCGGCGGCGGTGGCGGCGGCTGCGGCGGCTGCGGCGGCGGCGGCGGCGGCGGGGGCGGGGGGGGCGGCGGCGGCGGCGGCGGCGGCGGCGCGGCGGCGGCGGCGGTGGCGGCAGCGGCAGCGGCTGCGGCTGCGGCTGCGGCTGCGGCGGCGGTTTGGCAGGGGCGGCGGCGGCGGCGGCGGCGGCGGCGGCGGCTGCGGCGGCGGCGGTGGCGGTAGCGGTGGCGGTAGTGGCTGCGGCGGCGGCGGCGGTTTGGCAGCGGGGGGCGGCGGCGGCGGCGGACAGCGGTGGCGGCGGCGGCGGCGGAGGCGGCGGCGGCGGCGGCGGCGGCGGCGGCGCCAGATTGGCCCCCAGTAGCTGCCCATCCCAAGACGACTGCTGAATATGCTCAGGCTCGGGCCAGACTCGGGTGCTATGTATGTGTTGGGAGGGCGGGTGGGAGTGAGCGAGACGGCTTGCGGGCGGGGAGTGGGTAACTTGACCCCTCCCCCTACCCTCCCCTGGACCTGGACGGGGGGTTTCGCGAGTCGTCGGAGCGTCCAAAACGGCCTCGGCGAGGAAGCCAAAATCACTGGTTTTACTCAAGGTTTTGGCCCCATTTTGGCCTCGGGGGGGACGCCAATTGGGCACACCCCCTCCTGTGATCGATCTCACCCAAGATGGCCCAAAGATGGCCCCCAAGGCTCCCAAGGGTGCCCCGAGAGGGCCCCAAGAGGTGGCCAGGAAGCCCCAAGAGGCCCCCAGAATGCCCCCAAGAGGCTCCCAAGAGACCTCCAAGAGGCCCCCAAAGACCCCCAGAAGCACCCAAGATGCTCCAAGAGGCCTCGGCGAGAATGCCACATCATTGATTTCACTAAGGTTTTAGCCACATATTGGCCTCCTGGGAGGGGGCACGGATTAAGATGACTCCAAGAGCGCCTGGGAGAGCCCAAGATGACCTCCAAGATGGCTCAAGATATCCCAAGATGTCTCAGAATGGCTTCCTCTGTGTGCTGCCCACTTCCCTGATCGACGCAATTCCTCTGGGCATCGTTTCTGGATGGGCTGGTGGGGATTCGTGAAGCGTCAACAATTTGAATAAAGATGAGTGGGACGGGAGAGAGAGGGACAACGAACACACAATAACCAGGCACGCGACGGAACGCGACTGGATGAGCTAGAAAGAGTGAGAGAGAGAGAGATGAGCATCTACCAAACAACATCTATAGCTGAACATACTAATGAACACCAATATGCGTATCGTACATACACTCATTTACCTTTGTGCGGAACGTAGTAGGTTGAGCAAGGGAGGGGCGATGGGAAGACCAGGACGAACACATAGCCATACGTTCATACACCACTATACATAGTACAGGTGCAGATCTCAGCGAATGTGCGTATGATGGCATAGGCTTTTACTCGTATGTGCACGTGTGCATACATACATACGCACATATACACAACTGTACAGACATGGAAGAGATGATCAGAAACACGAGGGAGGCGGGAATGGAGCAGCGCGGGCCGTCCTCTGCGCCCCCGAGGCGGCCCCGAGCGCGTGAAGGCTGCCGCGGGCCGTGGCGACGTAGAGGACGCTGCCGTCGGGACTCAGCAGGCACTCGACCGACCCGCCTGGAGGCGAGGGGGAACGTACGTTGGGGGGAGGGGGGGGGGGGCCAGCCGCAAGAGAGAGGCAAAGCCATACGCCCCAGGGCGCGTCGACGTCGAATGCAGCACTCAGGCGTTCTCGAAATCGCTCTGCATCAACAGTCCCACCAGCCAGTTTGGGCGTGAGTGCTTTAGCGAGTTTCTTCTCTCGTTTTCCCTCTTCCCCTTCGGGGAGGGGGGTATGCCTATCCCCTATTGATAAACACCCCCTGGCCCAGGCGACTGGCAGCCAACCCGGACCAGTGAGACAACCCCCACAACCCCTGCTAAAAAAACAATGTAACATCCACTTTGGGACAAACCTTGGGTCAGGATCGGGGGGGCCGCGAGCACTTTGAATTGGTTTTGATAGGGACGGCAGGGGTGCCCGCACATTGCCTGCTGCGCGCAGTGCCAACATCCCTGTCAACAACAATGCAACATTCACTTCGAGACAGCACCTGGATCATGCGCGGGCACTCCGCGATCATTGCGCACTCGTTTTTTACTGGGACGGCGGGGGTGCTGGCATATTTCCTGCGATGTGCAGGCCCACCAGACGCTAGATGGCCACCCCGCTGTGATTGTGCTCTGGTTTTCGACAAGGGTGGTGGGCGCCGACAAGTTTCCCGATGTGTACTGCCACGCGCGCAGGCGCACCTGGCACGCTCTGCGCGTGCTCCGAACGTGGCGCACCTGGCGCGGCTGGAGCATGCGGCACACATGGCGCACGTTCATCACGTGGCGCATCAGGCGCACCAGGCGTGCCTGGCGCGCTTCGGCCACAGGGATGCCTGGCACACCTGGCTCGCGTGGCGCGCCTGGTACGCCTGGCGCACCTCTCCCCAGCGTTGCGCACATGGGGTACGGCTTGGTTCCCATTAGCTGTCCATCCATAGACTACCGCTGAACACGCTGCGGCTCGGGTGCTACTCATGTGTTGGGAGGGCGGGTGGGAGTGAGCGAGACGGCTTGCGGGCGGGAAGGCCCCCAAAATTCGAGGGGGGGCGCGAGGTGTCAAAGCGTCCCAAGCGGTCCCGGCGAAGAAGCCACAATCATTGATTTGACTAAGGATTTGGCCACATGTTGGCCTCCTGCTGGGGGGCCGAATTAAGGAGTCCCCCTCCTTTGATCGATCTCATCCAAGATGGCCCCCAAGGCTCCCAAGGGTGCTCCAAGATGGCACCAAAATGTGCCCAGGAGGCCCCAAGAGTCCCCCAAGAGGCCCGCAAGATTCCCCCAGGACGCCCCCAGAGGCTCCCACAGGCAGCCAAGACGCCCAAGAGGCCTCGGCGAGAAGGCCAACATCATTTATTTGACTAAGGTTTTGGCGGCATTTTGGCATCTTTGGGGGGGACCCTAAGTAAGGAGACCCCCCCTCCTTTGATCGACCTCTTCCAAGATGGCTCCAAGATGGCACCGGAGGCTTCCATGGGTGCCCCAAGACGGCCCAGAGAGGTGCCCAGGAGTCCCCTAAGGGGCCCCCACGATGCCCCCAAGGGGCTCCCAAGAAACCCCCAAGAGGCTTAAAGAGGCCCCCCAGAGGTCGATGGAGGTCGATGCCGTGAGGGCGATTGGAGGTCGATGCCGTGAGGAGGGCGCGGACCGCCGCACAAAGCTGCTGCGGGGCTGGGCGAGCACCCAAAAAAGACCACACGGAGGGTGAGGGGCAGGAACCGTCAAGTCCAAACTGTCTGATAAGTGCCCACGCCACGCCACGCCACTCCTCCCGACGGCTCTTTCTCGCCCCCTCTCCCCTCTCCACCGTACCCCCTCCCCAACCCACCTCGTTCCTCCTCCGCTTCTTCCTCTTTTGCCTTCTCCTCCGTCCTCCATCCTCACTCCCCTTTCCTCCCGTCCTTCTTTCTCGACCTTCTGCGTCTTCGTTCTCCTCCTCCTCATCCTCGTCCTGGTCCTTCCTTTTCCTCTGCTCCTTCTGCTCTGCCTCCCAGTCCCCGTCTTTCCGCCTCCTCATCCCCCCCACCTCCTCCCCCCCCTTCCCAAGCCTTTCTTTCCATCCCATGTTCCACCCTCGCCTCCCGCTACCACTTCATCTCTCCCCTTCGCCCCTGCACTCCAATCCCCATATCCCCCCTCCTTCTCCCCTCCTCACCTTCCTTCCCCTCCCTCGTTCGACCATCCCCTCCACCTCCTCCTCCTCCTCCTCCTTCTCAGCCTGCTGCTCGTTTGCCGTGATCTCTCCCCCCAGTCTTCCATGCTCCTCCTGCTCGTCCCGCTCCTGCTGCTGCTGCTGCTGCTGCTGCTGCTGCTGCTCGTCGTCGTCATCTTCGTCGTCGTCCTTTTCCTCCTGCTCTTCCTCTGGCTTGTCATTCTGCTCCTCCTCGTCCTCCATCATCTCCATCACTGCCTGCTATTTCTGCTGGCATCCTCTTCCACCGCCTCATCGCACTCCCCGTCTCACCCCATCCTGCTCTCCATCTCATTCCAGATCCTCCTCCGTCACTCTCGCTTGCTCGCTCGCCCTCTCTCTCTCTCTATCTCTCTCTTCCTTCCCTCCCTCCCGCCTTTTCTCCCTGCTCCCTCCATCTCTGCCTCTGTCTCTCCCTCCATGCATCTCTCTCTCTCTGACTCTGTCTATATGTGCAATACAATTCTCTCGATACTCACACCTATGACCCCTCCACTGCTAGATACGCGCGCAATTGCGTATCCGTATGTTTATGGATGCACGCATCTCTCCATTCACATGCACGCACATGGATGCAGCTGTAGATGTATGCATGTGTATGCCTACGCATAATTAGAGTCCCACATCACTCTATCTCACATTGTGTAGTCATCTGTGTAGCCTGTGCCATGTGCATGCCGTCACAGGTACAGAACACGCGTTCGACATGCCTATCGCCACGCGCACACGCATGTACGCATACAGTATGTGAGCATGTGTATGTATTCTCGTTATATGTATACATCTCTCTCTCTCTCCCTCTCTCCCTTTCTCTCCCCCCTCTCTCTCCCTCCATGGTTCCCTCCCTCCCTGCGTTTTTCGCGCACGCATGTACGCATACATTAGGCACACCTATGTTTGTAGTATCGTTGCATCTCTCTCTCTCTCTCTATCTCCCTTTCTCCCTCTCTCTTTTTCTCTTTCTCTTTCTCTTTCTCTCTCTCTCTCTCTCTCCCTGGCTACCTCCCTCCCTCCCTCTCCCTCTCAATCTCCTTCTTCCTCCCTCTCTCTCTCTCGCTCTCTCTCTCTCTCTCACTCTCTCTCCGTCGCAATTTTGGCTTGGCTCAAGGCCATCTGTGGATTCCCCTACACGCGAGGTGGCGACCGACGCGACACGCAGGCCTCACAGGTGGCTGCCCTGCTAGAAGTGTCTGCATCCTTCCTTTTTTGGCGCGTGTCCGCACGCACTCTCCCTTTCTTCCCGCCTGCCAGCAGCCACGTTCTCACCGCAATTGCAGCCATGGCGGGAAACGGTGAGCAATCCCTCGTCTTGCCGTGCCCCTCGTGTGGCTGCACGAAGAGCCAGCCGTGGTTCCAGTGGTGCAAGGCAAGCCACGGTATGTTGCCTCAACGCCATGGTAAAAAAAAAGCCCTCCTAGTGGCGATGCTCCTGCTGGCGATGCTGGTGGGAAAAAACGCCGCCGAGGTGAAAGAGGCTGGCAAAGGTTCCGGCCAGTCGGTCCCGTCTCCCCCTGTCCAGGGCACCACTCATGACCACCTGGAGACCTGCACTAAGCACTTCGGCGGCGTTGAGGGTCTTCCAGGTGCTGACGGTCTCCTCTCAGCCTTGTCAACATCCTTGCCAGCGGTCAAGCAGGCGGCCCTCGACAAACAGGATGCCGGTGTGCAGGCTACGGCGGTTCAGAAACAATTTCTTTCCAAGGAAAAAGAGCTGGCTCATAACACGGAGAGCATTGAGCACCACAAGAAGCGGGGTGAGGAGCTCGTGATCAAGTCGGCGTAGATCAATACTGAGATAGATCAGCTTCGTATTCGATATCGTGACCTGTCGGTCAAGATTGTCCCACCATCTGAATCGGGTCAGTCGTCGCAGATCAACCTGGACATTGCCAAGTTCAGTGGCACCTTCGCGGCGATGGACACCTTCCTCAAGGAGGCGGGCTCCGCCGTCGACAAGAAGAGCCCCGCTGTGCTAAAAGGTAAGATGAAGGCCATGCAGAATGCTCCCACGACAGGTCAGGAGGCTGTTCGCGAATCTGACGAAGGCTGCCGGGTCTTCTCCATCGGGGGCGGGCCCGAACGCGGGCAGCACTCACTCCGTCAAGTCCGATGACGATCACTTCAACTTGCTCGGCGGCGCCACGTCGACCCCTGAGGAGAAGAAGAAAAGGAAACTCGAGATGCTGGAGGCCGTGCCCGCCGGGTTTCGCAGGTAGCAGCACTTACGCCCACAGGGAGGGGGGCTGTCCTCCCATAGAGCCGCAGGCTCCTGGCAATGAGCTTGGTTCTTTGATCGAGACAATCAGCGGCTCGGGGTGGGGGGCGGCTCGTGCGAGGTTGACCCAGACAAGAGCGCAGATTGTCTGTGTGCAGGAGCATAAGCTCCGCAGCTCTGAAGACATCGACCCAGCCAACGCTTGGGGGATTCGCCATGGCTGGACAACTATGTGGTAACCATCCTGTTCTGGGGAAGAAGGTGGAGCGTCGGCGGGTGTCGACGTTGCAGTTCGAACAACTTTCGGGTCCTCTCCCTTCCTGAACACCTTGCAAGTTTTCCCTTCCGGCGTGTAGCCCGCCAGGTGAACAGGCTGGGCCAACCGACGCTCCTCGTGGCCAGCGCTTACCTGCACGACTGCCAGCAGATGAGTGGATTCAATGTTTCAATCCTCGCCGACGCGGCCTCTTTCCTGCACCACTCGGGCACGCCGCTCGTCTTGGGCGGGGACTTTAGCATGGTCCCAGGGGTCCTTCGTGAGCATCAGTCTCCAGAGCTTCTGCGGGGCAGCCTGGTCGCAGCTCCCGGGGACAGGTGGTCCTGCAGCGGTCCGAAGGGCAC